GTTGAAATATCAAAAAATTTAGCAAACAAAAATCTGAAAATAATTTTGTTGGGACCTCTAAACAATTGCGTAGCAATCTCAAGCATGATGAAATTGACATTTCAGAAATCAGTTTGAGCGTATTACATAATTATTTTGGTGGTCAAACAAAATTATATATATTTTCAGATTTGTATTTAGCTAAATTTTTAAATACTTTAGCAAAACCATCTTTCCCGTGTATATAATAGAAATAAAATTTTCTAGCATCATAGCGAGTCTTAATTTTATATAATCGAGATTCAGATAGTATATATTTACCAGTATACGATATAAGTATACGAATCGAAGGCTTTTATCGGAATTATATCACAGATCGTCAGTAGTGTTTATTAAAAGAGTAAAAAGGCAAGCCATTACTGTCTCTTATTTTATAGGAATCTCTGCGAGAGGAAGGATGGGGAGGGGGGAGAAACGACGGGATTTTAATCGTTCCCGGGAGTTTTGCTCTCCTGAGTAAGCCGCATCTTCCGGGTTGCCGTCTCTTCCCGCGCATTTTCTTTAGCCCGTCCGAGGCTCTTGGAAAAGTTCAATCCGAAGTGCTGCCGGTGACACTCTCCGACGAGTTAGCGAGCGTGCTTTTGTATTACTTTGCATCGGTCGCCGTTGTGCTCGCGTCAACTAAACGCACCCCGGGCAATGCGCAAGTAAAAGGGAACGAGAACATCGTTGGCTTTCAAAAACACCATCGGCTCTCCAAAGACTTTACGCGCTCGTAGTTCTGCCGCGTCTTTCCTACCGAGGCGTAATCCGCAGCTTTTCACGCGAGGGGCTGCCAGCTGTATACTCTTTTCGAGATTGTAAAACTACTAGTCGTTAATTAACATTTTGTATTTGTCAATTTATATTAGAAGGAATTGTAAAAAAATTATATTCTAAAAATTTTATGTTATTAAATATCTACATTTAACATTTATAAAAAAAAGTTACATCGTTCTCTTCCGCCCCCGGATTATCATCTTTTCTTCAAAAGTGTACTTACGCGACGTACTTTCCTTCGCAGTGTGAATTATAGAACCATATAGTATAATAATTATTATAAATTTAAAAAAATTGCTGGATTTGTATAAACAAATTGAAAGACCGTGCAAGATGTATTTCTTTTATCACCAATTTATACTTATTAAAGTTCAAATTGATCTGCTATAAATATCTGCACGTCATTTTTCACTTTGGTGAAAATCTCAAGAATTTCTGCAAATTGTCGGAAAAATAATAGTTACGCTGCATCCTTGTCAAATTTGCACTCAGCCCGAAGTTATCTATGCGGCACATGTGTGCTAAGACGGGTGGAAACAAGTTTTGTTATGCTTGTGTCAACAAAAGACGCGTGTTCCAGAGGCGCGTGCTGCATGCGACGCGCTGGAAGAATGAAAGTAAATATCGAGCGCGCGGCGCAGGTGGACCGGATAAGATTAAACAGCTGTTTCCGCGTTTTATCGGGAGTGCAGTTAACCGCCGCGGCCGCCCCCGCGAGCTTCGCCTCTCCCGAAATGCATTCTTCTCGGGTGCGTTAACACGCGCGTGCAATATCCGCAATAGCGGCCCGCGCAAATGAATTGCGCTTTGCGCAAGTAGTTGGGATAGAACTTTAAGAGAGGAAATAGTCCAATAATAATGCGTGTGAATAAACTTTACGTGAAATAGCTCGGATGTATCTCGCACCTCATTTCATCTGCGTTTGCATATCTCATTTTATCTGTGTGAGAAAATAAATTTCAATTAGTATCTGTTTAAATAATATTAGCCAAACATTCATTACATTACAGTAAATAAATATTTACTCAATAAAAAGATGATACTTAAATCAAATTAGTGGTTCTTGTACTAAAAAGTATACGTTTATATGCAGTATATATTTTTTTGTTCATACCAATATTTAAAAAAAATTTATTAAAATTTAATATATTTTTTATGTATATCGTCAATCGATTGAATAATATGAAAAATTAATAAATATACATACATATAATTAAATAAATAAATAAATAAGATCTACTCGATGTGTGTAGCTTTATATAATTTAAGGCTCCTATTCCCTTATCATTATTATTATATATGAGATTATTATTATTATGGCGTCAAAAGCAAGAAATATGCAATAAAAATTTTTATAAAATATATTAATGTGGCAATGTTTCAATAATATGACATATAATCAATAGAATTGACTTATAAAATATAATGTATGAATTCTGTTTTTATTTTATTGTTAATTAATAAATAACTATATAACTAGAAATGAATTATGCATAACCAAAAACGAAATAATCACTTCGCAGGTGTGACGAATTCAAATTAACAATATATAGAAATAAATGATTTAAAATTTCTCTTCCCAAAGCAAGAAGATAGTTTTTCATGTATTTTATAAGTCTATATTTTATTTTGAATTTGATTTATTTATGGAGTCACAAAACTATTTTTATTTTTATATTTATTGCAGATACTTATATTTACTTGTATTATATTTGAATTTTATATTCTACTCAATTGCAAATGTTACTTCATTGAAAAATATTGTATTTCTACTCGAATGTAATTTGCATAAATAAAAATAGTTTTGTGACTCCACATAAATTTTTTTGCGTTTTTTTTTCTTTTGACTCTCGACATTTTAAATAAGATTATTACTGCGCTATGAATTTTCCAATGATCGATTTTACTATTTTAATTTATTGACTTACAACATTATGATAAGGAAAAACGAGAATACCACTATGAAGCAATAATTTGTAGATTTCCAATTATTTTATAATAATGTATTTACTGTAACATTGAGAATGACCCGATCGGTGTCGAAACGCTTGTAATTATTTTCATTTTTATTTTTATGTTTTAAATAATTTAAATCAAACGTTCTTTGTTATATAACTGGCTCTTAGCCCTTCAATTGTTCTATTTGCAAGCGTTTTTATTGTATGTTCTCTCGCTTCTGACGTCACAATCTGAGATAGTAGTGAGTGAACAGGAGCTGCAAGATGAAAATTTAAAAAATCTTTCAAATACATGACACATTATATTGTATACAGAATAAATTTTCACGTGCATACTATTAAAAATCCAGGGTGTCAAATTTAACCCAATTTAAATCGCCACTGCTCCTATAAAAAAAATTTAGTAAATATTTACTCGCAGTAAAGAAATGTTTAACTATTCAAGAAAAAAATTATTTAGATTTAGAAAAATGTTGTCCAGTGTATTCAATGTTATAATATATTTTATACTAAAAAACAATGGATAAATTTGACACTATAAATTTAACAATGTGAAAGGACGTTTAATTATAGTATATCAAGTTTAATTATACACGAATCGTCAAGAATTCTACGTAGCGCGAATACGCGCTCCACGTGTCGCGTCTAAGATTTTATTTCGAAATGTCCAATCGTCGTCGGGAGAAAGGAAGCAAGGCGGAATGGATAGAAAACAGCTGAGACGCAGCTGGTTTCTGGCATCGCGACGACCGGCGTCTTCCCCGCGCGCGCAAAGAGCGTCGCACTCCGCGCGCACGTGTGTGTATGCACGCGCGTGACGTCTGTGTATAGCACAAGCCATCGATGGTAGAAAGCAGAGCTAGAAATCGATTGCTAACAATATTTTACGCCAGGCGATAACAAACCGCAAAAGAAAAATTAACATTCGCGACCGGCAAATGGTGGTGATTCCGCGGCAACAGCTTGCGCAGTTCCCGTTAATCTGTAAATAATTACAACCGCCGGTTACAACGCGATTACGCCGCTTCGCTGGAGAATCTGGGGAAAAGCGAAGGTCGTAGAGCAAATATCTGAAATCCATGGGAAGACTTGCAAATGAACCGTGGGTAAAAAGAAAGAGCGAGACGACAGAGACAGAGATCCAGTTTTTGCAGTTATTTTTAACCTCTTCCTGTAAGAACTGCTTCGAAAAAAAGAAAAATATTTTAGAATTCCAACGTAATTTCAACTTTAGATTTAAAAAAATCGCGTAAAGATGTACAAGAAAAAATTTACGGAAAAATATACTTTGCATGAAAAGCTGCTACGTCTCTTGATCCTCGAATAATGCAATAATATTGTTCTCGTTTCGAAAAGAAACTAACAATAAAATCCACATCATTCCTATGCTTTCATTAATTTTCCTTTTATTCATTTATTACTGATTACTGCATTCAATAGAAAAAGCATCTAAACTTTGGAGCGAATCTTCAAAGAATTTAAAGAGTACATACTTGACTTCTGCATCGAAAAAAACTCAAGTCCAAAGTCGAACGTTTTAATTTCGTTAATAAGTACATCTCAACTGATTGCAAATTATATATCTTGTCGCCTTATAAATATATTATTTCATACAAGTATTATTATTTGAATTTAATTTATTCTTGAAACACAAAATTATTTCTATATTCATTTTACTTGAATTTTACAACAGTTGCTTTTTCTGTTGAGTACAACCAATGATCGTAAAGGGCAACTTCTAATAGCATATTCGAGAACCTCATATTCCACATTTCGTCGAAGCGACATGTCATAACGACGTCGTCGTCAACATCGTTTACTGTACTCCCTCGTTGCGCTGAACACGTGCAGTGGACACTTCGAATGTCTTCCTCCTGAATTAACACGTCGAAAAGAATTCACGTGAATCTTTCCCAGACGCGCGCGTCGCGCTGGCTAAGTATAGCGGAGCCGGCGCGACGTGGGCGCGGATGCAGCCGTGAAAAGCATTCGCATTAATCTCGGCGCCACCTTTGCCGGTTGGACGAGCGAAATATTTCACGACGACGACGGCTGCGTCCTCGCTAATGAAACGCCCCAGGTGGTGACGATTCCGGCCATCCCAGTCTGACGCGACTCGCGAATTAAAACTCCCGGGTGCCCGTAAAGACACCGCCTCCTCCTTCTTTTTTTTTTCTTTCGCTTGCCGTTGCACGCACTCGTCGGAACAGTCGTGTGGAATTGATCAACACCGCTCTACCATGTACAAAGAATTTATTTTTCTCAACATTGACAGTACTCACAAACTCACAGCTCGCACAATAACATCGAGATATGCTGTGCGTGGCGTCGACGCCACCTCGAAACTCCGCGCCTCCCGACTCCCTTATTGCCTTATTGATTGATCGAACGATTGGCCGATTGATTAGCCCGTATCGCTCCCGAGCAACATTTAAAGTGGCCGATGCGTGAGTCCGACTTTGGAACAATTATTATGACAAGCGTTTCCCTCTCTCCCTCTTTCTCTTATTACTGTCCGGCTTTCAACCGGTATCGGATGTGCAGGACGATGTATCGGCGTTACTCTGATCGTTGTTGCTCTCCGTCGACGAACTGTCGTTACTCTTTATTCGCCGTTTGCGCAGCTTCGCGAACTGAAACTCCTCGACCGGCACTGTACACCAACAATAGAAGTCATGTCATTAATCTTCTGGCTAATTATCGCCGTTTGGAATTTCGCTTTTTTTTCTGTTTGTTTTTACGTATCTTTTCCATTTCACAGAAAGGATAGGATAACTTGATCGGGATGAGTCAAACCGCAGGAAAATGAGAACGAACGAAGAACGCTTATATATTTCTCTCTCTATCGGCCGACCGAAACATTTTACATTGTGGATCGCATTATCTTACAGTGGAAAGTGCGCATACAACGGATTTATTTGAGTACCTTGAGATTGACTCTGGTTCTAAGGCATTAACATTAAAAATCTTGAATTAATTGATACGTGATATATATCTCTCCATTGTACAAATCTCCGCGCGAAACGACTTAATTTAATCTCTTTCAAGCTCATTTCTACCTTTTTAGATTTTAACTTTAATCTTGGTTTACAAGGATGCCACAAATTCCTTATCCTAAAGTTCCATAACTTTTCCCTAATTTTTCCAGACAGAATTTCCCTGATGCTTCTCAATAATATTAAAAACTTTTTTGTATGTAGTTTTCATTTAGAAACCATCAAATATTTTATTGAAAGAGCAATTCAACATAGAAATGTAAATTACTATTAATGCTGCTGACACTACTCGCACTTAATTGTTAAGTTGGTAATATATACATAATTGTAATATATACATATTAAACTTCTTTTAAACCAAGAATTTTAATTTTGTGAGTGTGTGTGAAGCAAAAAATTTTCCAAAATTTCTCTGGCTGTTTTCAATTTCCTTGATTTCCCCAATTTCAATTTTATAGCCCGATTTACTTTTTATCTTTTTTTAATTCTTAAGAAATTAGTATAGAAGGTAAAAAGTACTCGGAATACCCGGGAATCCCCCGGGAATCCACCCGTCAATTTGTTGCACACGGGTGAAAACTGATTCCGCGAGTACCCGTATCACACGGGTATCCATGACACGCGGGTACCCGTATCATACAGATGCTCTCTCTCTCTCTCTCTCACTTCATAGTTTATATACATACCCACATTGCACAATTTTCAATGTTACCTGGTTGTTTTTCCGAGTAGTAAAAACTAAGATTAAAGTTAATCTACTTAGTAGAAATGGACATCAGCCACGTCCCTAAACTTCATAAGCAATAAATTTTAGTATCAAGGGATTACGAGACCAGCTCTCGAATGTTTTAACAAAAATTGCAAATCATTGCAGACATACCTAGCATGAAATAGACGACTTTATGTGCGACGAGGTAGACGAACTATCTTTATTTACAAATAATGCACTATGTAACACATGAACAAGCTTCCTTGCTATACGCTGGGAGAAGCAATAAATCGACTCGTACATCAAAAGCATGTTGTTTTGCGGTATGTACATACTTACACGATAAGTCGATGAAAATTACGTAATGAAGAGAGAACATTCAAGACAGTAAACTTCCGTACTCAACATCCTCATCTCTAATATTTATGCAATGTGTCGGATATCCAACACATGGCACACATTTCTCATTTGCAATAGAAAAATTATTTGCACAATTTATTGACAATTTCTTGGTTAACTACCTTTGTATAAACTAGCTAGTAAGGAAATTTACTTTGTACCATCTCTGTATTGCAAATTTGTTCAGTAATGTGACAATTTAGTTATACACATGCGAGTAACAACGCAAAAAAATATGCATAAATAATCGGAAAGTGTTGATTCGCCGAATGCAATTGATACTCTTCTTACAGCGATTTTGTACTAGTATCTCCCTACGGGGAGAAAGTGTACGGGATGTCAGGTAAAGCGCAAAATCTTAAGAAGCGAGACACATCGCTTCTTGTTAACATCAATTTCTAATAGAAATACTCTCTTTAAAATAGTCTTTTATGCATTCACGTATAGTTAATGTAATTACATATATATCTCACAACAATAAAATCATCTGAATATGTAAAAACAGTTGGTTCAGACTAAATAGGTCTCTTTGCTCTCTTACAACAAAGCATAAAACATACTCCTTCCATAGTTTACCTCCATTAATATGCATATTAGAAACATGATGTGTGTTACCTGAATTAACCGGCCGTTCGTTCCGTAGGTAAATATTAAATGTTTTACATTTGAACGTTTGTCGAAGATCCAATTTATTCCTTAACGATATGACTATTTTTAGTGGAGGTTTCATTACCATCTGAATCGGGATCTTGATCAGCAGCACCATGAGCTGGGATAGATGGCAATGGTACAACCTCTGGTTCGAGGGGTTTCACCGGGCAATCGACATCCTCCACGATAACTTCTTCCGCCAAACTACTCCTTACTGCCTCTGCGTATTTAGGATAGATATAACAACTGAATCATATATCTTTCCTCGTTGATTCATTCATATAATTAATTACCGTTAAATGCCTGTGGATATTGCTGGTTTAATTTATTTTTTATCAAACGAATCCTCTTAAAAATATAATCCAGGTCCCTCTTCATCTCGACTAGAAGAGCAGTATGCTTCTTGAATTCTGTACCAGCAGTCTTGAGTCTGTTCACCGACAACTGGTTGCAGTTTGTCAGCATCTCGTTGGTCTTTTCAAACCTTTGTAACCTAGAAGCATACAAAGCCAGAATGAAATATTATATCATGAGAGAATTATAGGTATGTAAATATATTTTGAGAAAGACAAATAGCAAATTTGCATTATTTGCATTATATTAAATTAGTGCACACTAAAAGCTATATATATTATATATATATATATATATATATATATGTGTGTGTGTAATAAGCAAAGTTGAGGCTAATGTTTTGAACTTTGTACTGTTTGGATAAGTTCACCAAGATAAAAGAGGTCTGTTTTTATTCCTGCACCAGACTGCACTAGGATTCTCTTTCTTGCTTTCGCCAAAAATGACCTATCTCACTTTAAGATCCAAAAGTGTATACTAGTAGTCACAAAAAACAAATTTAAAGTTTATTCTTTTTAGTTAAGCTTCTTTGTGTGTATATGTGTGCCTATGCACAATTTTCTTTTTCTCTCTTCATCATCAGAGATAAAAGGAAAGAAGGAAAGATGAACCATGCAAGAAGTTTAGTTAGGAAACAAGCCTAGAGAATCTGAGATGACACTTACATCTGTTTCTGTGCACGTATCATAGACTCCACGTCCTGCTGATCAACGATGCCGGCCAGGCCTTGCACAAACACCTCCGGTGCCGTGTAGTTTCTGAAACACTCAAAGCTCCCAGTGTCCGACTCCGGTGTGCTCTGCGCCGCTGCCATACTTTCGCCACCTCAGGATCACCAGACCACGAATTTACTCTCATCATCAAGCAATCCCATCGCTCGGACAAAATGTCGCTCGAATTCGTTCGATCGTACTCGACACGTCCTACACTGATGATCGACAAACACTACATGTCGCGAAAGTCTAGGTTGCAACCGCCCACGTTATCTCTCTTGGTGTCTCACGTTGGTCATCACGTAAGGACGAAAAAGGAAAAGAAAATGTCGATCGATATATGTATTACGATCGCGCTATGCCGAATCTGCCCGTCTCACCGAAATCTCGAAGTCCATCTTCTCGCGTTTTCTTCGCCTACCGAAAACAAATGCTAAGCGACACCGGTGACGGCGAAATTATCACCGAGAGGGTTGAAAACTCAAATTCCAACAATTCTGCGATATCTCGAGTCCGAATGTGAAGCCTGTGTGATTTAAAAATCCCATTCGTCTGTGAGGACTGGTGAGGACGACACGCGACGGAACGGTGAGCTGACGGGGGAGACGCGAGACGAGGAGAAATCAGAAAATCCGCGCGACGCGACGCCGCCCGACGGCAACAGCTGTTTTGTGACCCGATGTTTTCGAGCCGAGCAATAGGGCGCCGTGCAGCATTCAAATTTCCATCGTGCTGTTGTGACCGTCAATCGAGTCGAAGTGAGAAAGAGCCGTAGAGGAAAAGAGACGGGGAGACTGCGATCCTCGCTCCGTGAAGACGATACTTCTTGCCCATTCGTCGCCAGGAACGCGAAGACGCTAAGGTGCCTCAGGATGGCACAGAACGTGAACCCGTTCAGTTCGATGCAAAACACGCCGACCAAGGCAGCCGAAGAGAAGCAGAGCTTGCCGAAGGACAATCATGCAGTCAGCAAACGGTACGCGGAATCGAGTCCATTATTAATATGAACTGCGAACTGACTGGCAAGTTTTCTTTCGAGTCAGATCGCTCCGTTCGCGACCATCGAAATTTTTCTGAATATTTCAGGAATTTAAGCAGCGTAATCGATATCGCTTCGTTCGTTGTTGTGTTAGTCACATAACCTAGCGGACTCTGAACTCTGAATGTTGATTGAGCGCGATTCGTCTGGAATATTTTATAATATTTGATTTTGTAATAATCTATCTTTCTCCTTCGTTGTAATCCGCTATAACTTGTCTCGTGGAGATGTTTACTTGTGTGGAAATACTTGATTTACTTATCGATTGTTCAGATTGCAGAAGGAGCTCATGGTGCTGATGATGAGTACCGAACAAGGAGTATCTGCCTTCCCGGAGGGAGAAAATTTATTTAAGTGGATCGGGACTATTACAGGACCAAGAGATACGGTAGGAAAACCTCTCAACTTTGAATAACATTATTGTCTCTAATATAACAAAAAGGTCTATAGTTTGTATTAAACTGAATATTAAACGTATGGCTTTGTACAATAAAATAATAAATCATTACCTAAGCTTTAAGGTCGATATTCATGAGTTAGTTCTTATTTCAAGACCATCTTGAGTAATATCTTAAAACACTAATGTAGTTGTCCGATTAATTTGTAACACTTAAAGACTGAACTTAAGATGATCTTGAATTTAAAAGCTGACTGTGAATACCAGCTTATGTCTTTGACCAATTATAAGTGATTATTCTTCTCACTCATTCTTCTGTGATGATCAATTTCTTAATTCACCCTGTTTCCACGGTGCTAGAACTCAGTTCGAATTCTTGGACCAAGAAATATGTAACCAATCAACTTGCCGTTTTTCCATAAAAATTACACATTGATTGGCTACACATTCCTAGATCTAAGAACTTGGACTGAGTTATAGCACCGTGGACACAAGACTTTACAGCATAAGACTTAAGCTTGGTAGGTAATGGCTTATTGTAGAAAACCTAGTAAAGTTCTTTTTATATTGGAGAAAAAAAAGAGAAAAGATAAACTTGCAAAAGATAAACTGTTCAGTTAAAAAAGACTTTAAAATCTTTATTCTCTGACTTTTAAGAGCATTGGTACTCTCTAAATTTGGAGTGAAATCTCACTCCATATCTAAAAAGTGAAAATTGAGACAGTTAAACAAAAAAATGAAAATATTTAAGGGTGAAATTTCATTCCAGAATGGATTCACTCTAAAGAGAGTATTAACAGCATTGATATTGTTATCGTTGAGCAGATATATATGTGGTATAATAGAAAAATAGTTTTGTTAAAATATTTAAAAATTTAACTAGCTATAGAAAATAACTCTAAAAATAATTTTGTTTGGATCATCAAAATAATAATATAATACTCAAGGTGATTCCTAGAGTGTTAAAATTTTTTGTAGCATTATCATCTGTGCTTTTAAGCGTTCTACACAATTATTTTGATGATCCAACAGAAAACTGTCTTTTTCATGTAAATAAAAGCAGCACAACGACAATATAACAACACTCACATTGTAGTTAAGAATTATGAAATAGAAGATTATGTTTGGATTGGAATTTTATCAATCAGAGTAAAGTTCATTAAACTTGATATTCTTTTTCTTTCCTCTGACTGATTAAATTATAATTTAATCTCAAGCTGTAGAACAGATATAATGGAAATGTTGTGTGTTGCAGGTATATGCCGGTCTCACCTACAAATTAACCTTAGAATTTCCACATAGCTATCCATATAGTGCTCCCATAGTACGCTTCGCTACGCCTTGCTTTCATCCTAATGTAGATACCGGTGGTAATATCTGTCTAGATATATTAAAAGATAAGTGGAGCGCATTGTATGACGTCCGTACCATTTTACTCTCTATACAATCTCTTCTTGGTGGTAAGTAGTAAATAAAGTATAATAAAAATCAATATTATAATATGAGATACTACTTTGTTTCATATTTTGTTACATAGAACCTAACAACGAAAGCCCACTTAATCTTGAAGCAGCAGAGTTATGGAATAATCAGACGAAATACAAAAAGTATCTGATGGAAGAATATCATAGGGCACTTGATCGAACACAGAGCAATCGCAATCAACAAGATTCATGATAAGCCATAATCATAAATTCATTTTGAATCATTTAATATTATTATTCTTACGAGTGGTAGGATTATAATTAAGTGTACGATTAATCGGAACTTTTGCACTTCTCTTCCGAGATTCGTTTAGCACTGTCGAGTTTAAATTAGACTGTGTTTCTTTCAAAAGAATGACAATGACGAAATTCTTCACGATTTATGTATATGCATTTAGCTTATATCTCGCAAGATTTTTGTAGGAACTTTTGTATAAGGGCAATTATAAATTTATGTAATCATCGACATTAAGACAATTGCACTATATTTATTTATTTACCATATAGAAACATATGCGTTGGTTTTTCGATCATTACCGCCATCGTCTGTATATTACATCTGCATTTGAAGTTTGTTTCCATTTTTACCATTATTGTATAGTTCTAAAATAAATATTTTAATGATCATATAATCATTAAGAGTTAATTTGCAATTTCCTCAAAACATGATTTAACAATATTGCATGTGGTACATATTTTATGTTATTTTTCAGTTTTATGAAAACATTTAGCAAGATATACATTTTTTAGCGTTCAAAATCTTGAAAATTTAGGATTATTGTGTAAAATAACGTTTTTTTGAAATTTTAAATAGTGTAACTTCTTTGTTTATTATATTCTTTTGAACACTACATTCTACTTTCCCGATTTTCATAAATTTAAGTTTTTAAGTTAAAATCTCCGAGTTTAAAATTCTAAGAATTGTCATTTTATTAGTTTAATGTATGGGAATAGACGTGAAGGAATATGCATATATATTTACAAAATATATTTTTCTACATACCATTAATGGGTTTTACTATTTTTTTATCTTTTTGCTGTCCGATGACGACATAATGTCGTTATATAAGAACATGAGTCTTATTAACAAATATAACTATTGCATGCAGTTATTACAGATAACTAAAAAGAAAACAAAGTACTAACTTTACTAGATACTTTCAGTATCTAGCTCATGATAAAAAAAATATGCGATCAGTGTATATCATAGTCTTAGTTAATTATTTCAGATGGTGCAATAATGTAATAAATATGCAGATTGTAAAATGTTAAGAATACAAATTATACACAATTAGTTATTGTGTACGTGTGTATGTATGTATGTATGTGTATACACACATACATACACACGTATAGATGTATATATTACATTTTAACCACTGAAAATATTTATACTTGAATTAACTTTGTCATATATATGTATATGTATGTATTTATATTGTATCTTTTTCTTTATTTCGTCCACATTATGTATATAAGAAAATAATTTAAAATTAGAGTAAAAACGGCTAATTTGAGTCAAGGATGCAGTTGATATATAGCGCAATAAATAAAATGTGCAAAGTTAAAACATAAAATATTATAAATACTGATGTTTCGGTTTTTTTAGTTAAACTATTTTCAGAATTTCAAATAAATAAATAAAAAAAAAGCGACGAAACATCCAAGTATAAAAATGGAAAGAGAAAAAAATTGTTATATTGCTAATCCTCAAGAGTGAGAATTTCCTAGTTAAAATAATTTAAATAAAAATAGCCGAAATAATTATATTGTAACATATTGCCTGTGTAATCACTCCGTTGCGTGGATTAGCACTAATGACCTCGTCATATTGCCCGCGCACCCCTTTCATTGGCTATCCGTGTCACTAGGTCTTTCGCACTTGCGTCTCGTGACCGTTCAATGAGTTCTCAGAGGACTGATATTGACGTATGAGCGTGATCGCCTCACCTTAAAAATCGGTATTCGTGTTCCATTCGTCTAAACGTTTAAGATACGTGTACTGTGCCGGGCAAATAAAGGTTTTGGTAAATATGTGACACCGTGTTTCTTTCTATTTCTCCTTTCGTTCTAATTTCCACGAGTATCATCTCGATTTCATATCCAGGAGCTCACGTCCATCAGACTGTTTCGTGCATATACACATTTCCCGTTTACTATTTACTCTTAACTATTTTAATTATTAATTCAATTAATCGCACTATTACAATATTAATCATTTCATATTGGACTAAACAAGGATAATGTAAATGACTTAATTATAATATCTTTGAAAATACACAAATACGAGATAGAAAGAAAAATAAAAAAAAAACAATATTGTTTTACGGCTGTAACTAAACTATAAAAAGAACAATATTATCTATATATATCATCACGTATCGCGTTATTTTATTAGATTAGTGCAAAAGTTCCCGATTTATTATTCAAAATTCAAACAGTTACAAAAGTTTGTTAAAAATAAACAAAATTTAAATTTAAAAAAAATAGTGTTAAAATATAAGGACTCTTTTTAAAAGATTACTATATCTCTTGAATTTCTGAAAATTTGATAATTTTTATTGTACATATAGAAAACTACGAGTTAAACAAGACGGGAAAATTTCTCTTCACTTTGAAGTCCTGTCATATATCTAAAAAAATTTTCAAGTTTCTGAATTTCCAACAATATAAAAGAACAGTTTTCCCTATAAAAAATCGTTTTTAAAAAATGCGTCTACGATTTTTTGTTATTAAGTTATTGCAAATTAAATAAAAAGAACAATTTGACATTAATTATTTTGTCAAAATAGTCAAGATAACTCTGTCAAAATCATAATTAAAAAAACTAAAAGATTCTTAAGTTTTAGACTAATTTTATTTTTAACAAAATTGTAGCTGTTTGAATTTTGAATAATAAATCGGAGACGAACTTTTGCACATTGATCAAATAGTGTATCAGCCACTATTTTAAATTGCTACATTTGTAATCAACGATACTATATATTGATATAACGATATCAAAATGCGCGCTTCAGTTTACCACAATCCATTTACAGACTTCAGTCGGTCATAAAGTAACATATGTATATTCAACACGATGTCCGCTCGTTTCGTGAGTGCGTTATATAAAATAGTAAAATCCAGTAGTCGAACGGTGCGGACTCGGCAACTATCAACTATTGCAAGTAAATCTCGTGAGATGGAGGTGTGTATACAAACGCAAAACGTGTGTAAAATGGAAATACAGAATCACTACTTGCCGTTTTTTCATCTGCCATTTTATGGACCATCTTTCAGCTATCATATGTTGATATGTTAAGCATAATATATACATTCTTTCTCTCTCTCTCTCTCTCTTTTTTTCTCTTGTTAACAGGAACGAAAGATCCAAGTGGGCGATACAGAAATTAATTATGCTAGAGTTGGCACAGGTGATCATCCGGTGTTATTGCTGCCTGGAGCCTTAGGTAATGCGATTTATTCAATAAATTTTTATACATTGATTAGATAACAGTTTGGTACATTTACATTATCGGCATTTACTGCCATCTACCGGACTGTAAATCCAGATAAATTGTTCAACGAAAAACAAGATAGCGTTGCATTCATAAATTGTAATTTTGATGATAAAAGAAAGGTAATAAATTTTTAAAACAATTTTCTACCGCCAAATAATTATAATTGTTATATTTACCGATTTTTATTGCAGTATAACTACTTTTTTGTTACTATTGTCGCTTTCAATTATTTGTAATTTAACGGGACTGCAATTCAGAGACTTATTGTTAGTAAACTTTTAAAATTTCGATTGACTTAATTAATATATTAAAATAAATTAAATTAATAATGTTTGTGACGTCACGAATAAATTCAAGTAAAATGCCTATGTTCGTTAAGTCTGTTAGTTATCGCGATTGTTAGTGCATAAATTATATATTTATAAGACAATAAATAATGTAATTCACAAATAAAAACTTATCAAATAAAATTATTTAACTGCATAGTTCGATTCTGAACATGAATCCTTTTGAATGCGATAATTAATGAGATCGAGTACAAACTGGAAAAATATTTAATTATGAATATAATAATTAATTACGCATTAATAACCGCAAGGCTCACATAAACATTTTACTTGTACTGGATTTATTCCTTGAATTACAAATTATGTTATACATTTAATTTATTTATTTTATAATTATTTCGACCATTTTCATTTAAATTATTACCTTATGTATGATGTAGACAAGATAAAGAAAAAATAAAATAAAAATATATATGTGTGTGTACTATATAGACACATTTTACTTGTACTAAATTATTAATAAATGCATTACCTAATTTAAAGAAATAAGGATTAAATGGCCTAATAAGTCAAAAACAGATATTGTTTGCAAAATGCTTGCTACAAATTCTGTCGTTAAAACGTAAAACAGAAATAATAGAATTAACTTGCTAACAAAACATAATGATGGATTGATTGCGAGAACTAAAACGAATTTGCTATTTAAATAAATAGCATTATAAGAAGAATTCTGCGCACTCGGTTTCAACAAACGGTTTCTGATGATACATTATGTTAGTAGAACATAGGCTTAATGCAAACGCAATTGACACCAATCTGCTTCAATATTCTGCTTAAACTTGTGGGGAATTACTAGCATGCTACTAACATTTCCTTTGTGGAGATGACGAAACTTTGCAATCTATCAAAAGGGATGTTTCAGGGACAATATGGACCGATTTTAAGCCACAGATGGAGAATCTGAACGTGAACAAGCTAACCATAGTGGCGTGGGATCCACCTGGTTACGGAAAGTCGCGACCACCCGACAGGACGTTTCCGGATGATTTTTATCAACGCGACGCCACGTACGCTCATAATTTGATGAAGACTTTGGGTTACTCAAAATTTTCTCTGATCGGTTGGAGTGACGGTGGCATCACATCTCTTCTACTTTCCTCGGCGTATCCTGATAGCATCTACAAAATGGTTGTTTTTGGCGCAAACGCATACATACACCCGGACGAGACGAAAATATACAAAAGTATGACTTCAGTCTGCTCGTGATGTCGTAGACCGATATTCATAGCCTGTTTTTATCTTAAGGCCATCTTAAGTAATGTCTTAAGATACTAATACAGTCCTCTAATTGGTTTATGACATCTTAAGATTATACTTAAAATGGTGTTAAATAGGAGAATCAATTATAAATACTGGTCCGTGATTGACTTATAATATTTTAAGATTGCACTTATGAAATATATATACTGAAAAAAAGTTTTCTTTTAAAAAAAGATTCAACTAAGAGTGCGGCGGTCATGGACTGTCAAGCAAATATCTGTTAATTTAAACAAATAATATATTAACATGAGACTCACATATATTTAACTAAAATATATAAATATTCTTAAACTACAAATATTAAACATCTAATCAAATTAACAACTTTTTTCTCAATAAAGAAATTATGGTAAATATAATATATAAAAGATATAAATCCAAACGTTTAGCTAGAGGAATCTTTTATACTGTTTAACAATGCAACTTGTAAAAATCTTGTTATTTATTTAAAAAAATCGAAAGCTGAAAAATTTATGAGAATCCATACATTTATTGGAATTCATCGAAAGTTAGAAAAGTTTTTATAGTAATCAAATTTTACAGATACAGGCGCAATGTTTTGCTATCGATTGAGAGTGCGTTAAACATTTAATTTCTTTTGTTTGCGTAATTTTTTAAACGAAATATTACTGTCCAGGTATTAGGGACATCAATAAGTGGTCAGAAAAAATGAGAACACCTATGATACAAACCTACGGTGTGGATTATTTCCAAAAGATGTGGTCGGATTGGATAGATACTGTACTGGGATTGTACGAAAAGCAAAACGGCGATCTGTGCAAGCAGGTTTTACCAAAGATAAAATGTTCGACTTTAGTCATACACGGAGCCAAAGACGCGATGGTCCTGCCGGAACATCCAACGTACCTGAAACAAAATATTGCCAACTCGAAGTTTGTATTTTTCTAGACTTAAAGAAATGGTAATCTACATTACATCCTTTTTTTAATATTTATTATATTACAGACTACATATCTTCGAAAAGGGCGCACATAATCTTCACTTAAGGTATTCCGAAGAATTTAATAATTTGGTTACGGATTTCCTTGTCGATTAGTTACGGAAATAATGATTTTACTGATGTATTTAAAAATTTAGCTAGATCTGAAAATATTTTTGTTTCTTGGATCGTTAAAATAATTTTGTAGGAATCTTAAGCCTGATGGATTACACTGCAAAAAGTTTTGATATTCTATCAATCAGTTTGGACGTTATATGTAATAATTTTGGTGGTCTAACAAAATTATTTTTAAATCTGTATGCAACTAAATTTTTAAATACTTCAGTAAAATTGTTCTATGAGTTTTGTTTAATAAATGTAAATTATGAAAACGTTTACAAGATTTACATTTGTAACGTCTATTAAACATTTTTTGTTTTACTTTTACGAGACATTCAACGGTTTAATAAATAAGTATTTAGTGTTAATAAGATCTATTTAACGTTTTTATACGGCATGAAAAACGTTTTAGCTAAACGTTTCTTAAACGCACATAAACTATCTCTATTATAAAAATAAAATATTATTTGTATAAATATAATGGTAATATTATGTTTGGTGGTATTATTATATTACAATATTAGCATGTTACTTTGTAATAAAATTTTCTATTAAAATGATATTAATGCACTCTCTTTATTTCGTCATATCCTTTACAATTTGTTATACAAGGTCATCTTTTATCATCTTCAGATTTAATTTAACATCCTGTATAAATCGTATTTGGTCGAAAGTGGAAATTTATATTCGTCATTATATATAAAAATCAGATAATTTGTACATATATCCTGTATTTACTTATATCTGAATAATAAATACTTACATAATATATAATAAATACTATCAATCAATTCAAAATAGTTGAAGGCCCGTGTCCAGAAAAATATTCAAATAACAAATACAGCTAAAGATTTGCGAATCAAGGTTTTTTGATTTCAAATCGAATCAAATCGAGTTCAAATTTTTTTTAATATGAATCGAATCGAATCATAACTTTTAATTTTTCGACAGCATAATTATATTGTCAGTTAAATTCTAATATGTAGATAAAATTACTTTTATATAAAAAAACATTAATTATAGTATAATTATTTTAAATACTAATAGCGAGCATCTGTTCTAGTCTATTTAATGTTAAGAAATAAGTCGTAATCGATCTATGGATCTTCTGTTGGCGCTTGCAGCGTGCCGCATTCGAGATATGTACTGAGAAATCTTTCGCACATAGATAGAAAGCGGTCTTGTGCTACTTATTATACAAGCGTCTTTATATCCAAAGAGGGCCAAACGCGCATGGTGCTATTTCGTTGACTTGTCTGACGATCGAACGCGACCGTATATTGAACAGAAATTGACCAAACAGCAATATACGATCCCAAATAGTCCTCTATAAGGGGATCCCTAACCCAGTGTCGAAATCGAAGATAATGTGTACCATTACCTAAATAGAAGACATGGATCGTAAGCTTTTTATGCCGACCCATTTCGATCAAGAGATAATCCGAAGTTCAATTTTCTCTTGTACCTTTCCATTTCGGAAGTTGATTAGAAGTAAACTGTCCTAATAGAAATTTACCAGGGGACGTTACTTCACTAAAAGGGTGGAAATATGATCTGTATGAGAAACAGTATTTTTGAATGCGTATAATGAAAACTGAGAGAGTGAAAAAGAGATAAGCACACAATTGGTAAGACCTATTTTAAATACAAATCAAATGAGGAAAAAAGTCAATAATTTTTAAAGTCTACTTACTTTAAAGACATATCTAAGATTTGAAATTTAAAATGTCTGATTTTGTCTGGACATGTTCGATCCACTTTCAGCGTAATAAAAAAATAACATTGAAAATTGACAATGACCTACCTCCTGCTCTCATAATTTTTTTTCTCATAGATATCTCATAGATTTCTCACTGATATCTAATCGGTAAAATAATAAACAGGTTTGTATATTTTTGACAAATTGCAATCTCTGTGTTATGAGATAATTCACAGATTATGCAACAGTCTTGAAAAACAACAAGGTCATGTTATCACGTCGTGATAAAAATTTACGAGAGACAGATATATAAATCGCAGGCACGCTCGCCGACACAACATATAGGTGCGGGCGACCGAGGGAAAGCAATAAAACGACGCGGAATATAAACTGCATGCGGGTGTAGCCAAATATGGGCAAGTGGTTTCTCGCTCTTCGATCAAGTAAACCTCCGTCCTTTTTTTCTCTCGCAAAAATTCCCTCGCTTCCTCCTCCATTCCCCTTTCGTGAAACGAAAGAGGAAAAAAGCTCTGAGATTCGCGGATGCGACTTACGAAAACCCCACAGTCTTTAATCTCAAGAGCTATATCGATAAAACAAACCGAGCCCCGTCTCGTTTCCCGTAAGTACCGTACGAAAGTTGTTAAGCCTTAGGCATACAACGATAAATTAATCGGTTATCCCGCGAATTTTTCGAGTTATCTTACGCGATACTCTCGCACGTGGGCGAAGCAATTGAATCACAAATACCACTTTCAATGTATCTTTTAATTTTCAATAATTTATATTAGCAGACTAATATAGTTTGCAATAATAATTCAAATCATTGCAATGATAATTGAATAGTTTTAATAATAGTAATAAATAATAAAATAATTTTAAAATTTATATTATATATATATATATATATATAGTCGTAAATACTTTCAAAGTGCGTATACATATTGTATTTATATTTTTGACTTGTGGGATCAATTTTAAGCAAACTTAATACTTGTAATTTGTTCTCGTAAGACTTGTAAGAATTTATGACTGCAATAAAGTTGTAATTTTTTAAGTACCGTAAGATGTACGATCATTCGTAAATATCTACGATTTCTTGTAAATCTTACGACTAGCAAAAAGATGCAAAAATATTGCATAAAGTTATATATTGCATTTAAGTTTATGCATTGCAAAATTATTTATAAGCACGTCAGTCAAAATTGTCATAAGTTCTTACAAGTCTTACAAAGACAAGTTAAGAATCTCACGATTCTGTTTATAGAATTAGCTTATTAATTTAATTCATATTTGTAAGTTAATTTTTAGCGCTCAACAATATCAGAGGTTTCGACGTATAATTCTGAATTTGGATTGCCCAGCGTATGATGCATTCTGCCAACGTGGCAGTGTACAAAAGCAACTAACGAGATCTCCTTGTACGGACCACACGTCTCGTTTTAGGCGAGTGCTCTCGACGCAACTCCTGGCTCTCGATCCTTTCTTTATTATAAGTGGGGTGCCTATATTGCCTTTAAATGGCATCAAAATGGTACTGACGCGACGCGTTATGTAATAGCAATCGAATAACGATTATCATAATACATAATTACTGCCGACATTGATTCATCCAAGCGGTAAATTAAAATAGGAAATAAAATAAAGCGGGGAAATAATATATTGTGAAAGAGAAAGAGAGAGAGAGGGGGGGGGGAATCTAATTTTAACTCCAATAATTACAGGTACTTTCGAGGAGACGCTATTAGCGCTATTTATATCATTCTATCTTTATTTTACATCTAATAAACGATAAAGATAGAACGCACCTTATTGTACGAATGCATAACAAAAGAATAGATTTTAATTTTAATAATATAGAACAAAATAATAGATAAGTCGGAGATATTTGCAATGTCACTTATTTGTGTTACACATAATTCAATTTACAGTATAAAATACGAACTAATTAATTTTGTACTTTAATTGTAGATAAGTTAATTCCTAAATGCGATGTCTCGCGGTTTTGGCTATTTCTTTTTTAATATGTAAAAATCCAGATCAACAAGAATCCATAAACCCACTCCCTTTCAAGGCGATAGATGTAATCTTGTCTCGGATGTCGAGCAACTTATCGACTTCGTCCTTTTTCGTTACGATATATACATGTCGGCGATCATCCACAATGGAAAACAAAGCCATTTACGGCGACCATCGTGGATGTCGTTTGTTTTCGAACTCGAATATCGTTTGATCTCACGAGAAAGTAGCAGTATGTCAAAATCTTGGCCTGGATATAAATGGGATCTCCAAAAACGCAGCAGCGCAACGGCGAGTCGTGCGATTTCGCCGTGGACTGCGGTTTTTGTGATTGTGACACGTGATAAGTAAAAACATTCCGTTATATTTGGCTCTTTCTCTTGTATGTACGAAAAAAACTGACTGATTCACATAACTTTTACTGCATAGAGTTTGATCAACGCTAATTCACGTGTCAGTTTTGAAAAAATCTTTCAAATCCAAAAAGGCTACGACTTTTACGTATTCGTGAATTTATACATAAAGAGACGATTTTATTCAAATATTAAAAAATTTAACTATAGATACAAAAATCTGAAAATAATTTTGTTGAACCATCAAAATAAATATGTACATTGCGTACAATTAAATTATTATGATAAAATTATTAATTATTATTTATAATAATGAATTTTACGACATATTCGTGAATGTGCATTCATTTAACATTATCCAAGACGTTTTGGAAACTTAATATTTTGGTACATAATGACGTATCTCTTAAATTAACTCTCGACTGTTTGATTACGTCAGTAACGAGACGAATGGACAGGGATATACGCCTGCGGAAGCATTTAGACGTATCAGTTGTTGTCCACCTTCTTAGGATCAATAAAGTACCAGGCGGGGCAAGGTCTGGCCAGTTCAAGTTTGGGCTTCTCTCATCGTACCTATCGTATAGTATCAATTGCCAATAGTACCATTATTTTATTTATATCTACCTACAGAAAAAAATCTGTCAAAACACTTCATCAGAGAGACTCGTAAACATCAACGTTTTTATTGTATATTTCTCCACATACATCAATTTCATATCTATAATTTTCAAGATTTAATTAATATTCAATTGCGTTAATTTACACTCTTTAATTACCGTAATCATAGAAATTTCCAAAAATATCCTCACCATTTTTCTTTAATCTTATCTCAATATTTCTATTATTCTCGACGTACGTAATTAAGAAAATGCCACAAAACCATCCTTCTAGAATTAATCGTCACAAACAACTGACTTATTGTATA